AGAGGATGATACATCACTGACGTATGGATAGTATTAGCTTGGAGAGATCAAGGAGTGGGGGTGAACAAGCCTCTAGTGCTTCAAAGTTGGGGGCTCCCTCCTAGTCAGTAAAACTCCCTAACTTGGAAGGGGAGTTGGATTGGTCATATCAGGGGTCAGAAAGATAGAATTGATAAGATGGCGACGAGTCTTCTATCTCAGGAAGGTAGGTAAACTGACTTCTGTGTGTCATCGTGGTTTTAGATTCCTTAGACTTCTTTGGTCTGTGTTGTTAGATGCCTTCAAGTCAGTTCTGACTCATAGCGACCCATGTACAACAGAACGAAACACTGCCCAGTCCTGCCCCATCCTCACAGTCCTTGCTATGCTGGGGCCCACTGTTGCAGCCACTGTGTCAATACATCTCATTGAGGGTCTTCCTCTTTTTCACTGACCCTCTACCAAGCATGATGACCTTCTCCAGGGAGTGGTCCCTCCTGATAACGTGTCCAAAGTACATGAGACGAAGTCTCATCATACTTGCTTTTAAGGAGCATTCTGGCTGTACTTCTTCCAAGACAGATTTGTTCATTCTTCTAGCAGTCCATGGCATATTCAATATTCTTCACCAACACCATAGTTCAAAGGCATCAATTCTTCGGTCTTCCTTATTCATTGTCTAGCTTTCGCATGCAAATGAGGTAATTGAAAATACCATGGCTTGGGTCAGGCCCACCTTCGGGCTCAACGTGACATCTTTGCTTTTTAACACTTTAAAGAGGTCTTTTGCAGCAGACTTGCCCAATGTTATACATCATTTGATTTCTTGACTGCTGCTTCCATGGGTGTTGATTGTGGATCGAAGTAAAATGAAATCCTTGACAACTTCAATATTTCCTCCATTTATCATGTGTTGCTTACTGGTCCAGTTGTGAGGGTTTTTGTGTTCTATAGGTTGAGGTGCAATCTATACCGAAGGCCGTAGTCTTCGGTCTTCACCAGTAAGTGCTTCAAGTCCTCTTCCCTTTTGGCAAGCAAGGTTGTGTCATCTGTATATAGCAGGTTGTTAATAAGTATTTCTCCAGGACTGATGCCACGTTCTTCATACAGTCCAGCCTTTCAGATTACCTGCTCAGCATACAGATTAAATGAGTATAGTAAAAGGGTACAATCCTGATGCACACCTTTCCTGAGTTTATACCATGCAGTAGCCTCTTGTTCTGTTAGAATGACAGAGCATTTTGGTCTATGTACAGGTTCCCCATGAGCACAATTAGGTGCTCTGGAACTCCCATTCTTTGCAATGTTATCCATAATTTGTTATGATCCACACAGTTGAATGCCTTTGTATAGTCAATAAAACACAGGTAAACATCTTCCTGGTATTCTCTGCTTTAAGCCAAGATCCATCCGACATCAGCAATAATATCCCTCATTCCACGTCCTCTTCTGAATCTGGCTTGAACTTCTGGCAGTTCCTTGTCAATGTACTGCTGAAACTGCTTTTGAATGATCTTCAGCAAAATTTTACTTGTGTGTGATATTAATGATATTGTTAGATACTTTCTGCCTCCTGTTGGATCGCTTTATTGGAATGGGCACAAATATGGATCTCTTCCAGTCAGTTGGCCAGGTAGCTGTCTTCCAAATTTCTTGACACAGACGAGTGAGCAGCTCAAGTGCTGCATCCATTTGTTGCAACATCTCAATTGGTACTCTGTCAATTCCTGGAGCCTTGTTTTTTGCCATTCCCTTCAGCGCAGCTTGGACTTCGTCCTCCAGTGTCATCAATTCTTGATCATATGCTACCACCTGAAATGGCTGAACATCAGCCAATTCTTTTACATACAGTGACTGTGTGTATTCCTTCCATCTTCTTTTGATGCGTCCTGCATCCTTTAATATTTTCCCCACAGAATCCTTCAGTATTGCAACTCGAGGCTTGAATTTTTTCTTCAGTTCTTTCAGCTTGAAAAATGCCAAGCATGTTCTTCCCTTTTGGTTTTCTACCTCCAGGTCTTTGCACATTTCATTATAATACTTGATTTTGTCTTCTCGAGCTGCCAGTTGAAATCTTCTGTTCAGTTCTTTTACTTCATCGTTTTTTCTTTTCGCTTTAGCTACTTTATGTTTAAGAGCAAGTTTCAGAGTCTCTTCTGACATCCAGTTTGGTCCTTTCTTTCTTTCCTATCTTTTTAATGACCTCTTGCTTTCTTCATGTAGATGTCCTTGATGTCATTACACAACTCATCTGGTCTTTGGTCATTAGTATTCAATGCATCATATCTATTCTTGAGGATGGTCTCTAAATTAAGGTGGGATATACTCAAGGTTTATTTTGGCTCTCATGGACTTGTTCTAATTTTCTTCAACTTCAAGGTGAACTTGCATATAAACAAACTGATGATATGTTTCACTGTTGGCCCCTGGCGTTGTTCTGACTGATGATATTGAGCTTCTCCATAGTCTCTTTCCACAGATGTAGTTGATTTGATTCCCGTGTTTTCCATCTGGTGAGGTACACAAGTATAATTATCATTTGCGTTGTTGAAAAAAACTACTTGCAGTGAATAAATCATTGGTCTTGCAAATTCTATCATGCAATCTCCAGCACTGGTTCTATCATGCAATCTCTGGCGTTGGTTCTAATCTCCGGCGTTGGTTCTATCACGCAATCTCTGGCGTTGGTTCTATCACCAAGACCATATTTTACAGCTACCAATCCTTCTTTTTTATTTCCAACTTTTGCATTCCTATCACCAGTAATTATCAATGCATCTCAATTGCATGTTTGATCAACTTCAGACTGCAGAAGTTTGTAAAAATCTTAAATTTCTTCATCTTTGGCATTAGTGGTTGGTGTGTAAATTTGAATAATAGTCATATTAACTGGTCTTCCTTGTAGGCATATGGATATTATCCTATCACTGACAGCACTGTACTTCAGTATAAATCTTGAAATGTTCTTTTAGATGATGAATGTGATGCCATTCCTCTTTAATTTGTCATTCCCGGCATAGTAGATCATATAATTGTCCGATTCAAAACGGCCAGTACCACTCCATTTCAGCTCACTAATGCCTAGGCTATCAATCTTTATGCATTTCATTTTACGTTTGATGTCTTCCAATTTTCTCAGATTCATACTTCGTATATTCTTTGTTCTGATTATTAATGGATGTTTGCAGCTGTTCTCATTTTGAGTTGTGCCACACCAGAAAATGAAGGTTCCAAAAGCTTTACTGTATCCACGTCATTAAGGTTAACTCTACTTTGAGGAGGCAGCTCTTCCCCACTCGTATTTTGAGTGCTTTCTAACCTGAGAGTGTCATCTTCTGGCACTATACCAGACATAGTTCCACTGTTATTCATAAGTTTTTCACTGGTCAATTTTTTCAGAAGTAGACTGCCAGGTCCTCTTCCTAGTCTGTCTTAGTCTGGAAGCTCCACTGAAACCTGTCCACATGGATGACTCTGCTAGTATTTGAATACCAGTGGCACAGCTTCTAGCATTACAGCAACATGCAAGCCACTACAGTACGACAAACTGACAGATGCGTGAGGGTCTGTGAGAGGAGTATAATGAGCCCTTGTGTATTCTAAGGGTTAAAAAGGAAGCAGGCTGACTCCTGTGGGGATCCTAGGGACTACAAGTAGGAGCAGTGATTTCTGGTCCTTAAAGGAGACACCTGAGCCACAATGAACACGGAGCCTCAAGGTTGACAGGAACCTTTGAGGAGAAGGACTTTGTGGACTGAACGGCCTGAACACTGGTACAAGGTCTGGACCGTCAATGGTGGGCCCTGAGGGGCTGTAGGTACTCAGAACACCAATCTCTTTCATAAGCTTATCCTGGCCTCTGCCAGAGGCTGGGCCTGAGAGATGTCCCTGAGGCAGGGAAGAGCAGAGCTGGGTCAGCTGAGGTAGAAATCCAGCATTCAACAGTGACAGAGCCCAATGTGGCAGCAAAGCATCACAGCAATGTGGTGGCCCTGACAAATGATCAGATATGCCTCTTCAGGAGAAAAGATGGGGTGGGAGGGGGGCAAAAGAGGAATATTGGCCTTCTTGCTACTCAGGCATATAATCAATCCAGTTTTATTTAACTTATTGAGATTGAGAGACATGACTATATCTCAAACATTGTGTTCTAGAAAAGTTTCTCATAGTTGATAGTTAAATTATTGCTATCTAATATTCATTATGAAATTTATATTTTAAGCTAGTTTCATTCATACTCATCAGATTATTAGAAAATATCCACAAATAATAAGGACTCGGTGTTCTGATCACATGTAAGTATTGCTAAAAAAAAGCTGTGATAACAAGGAAATTTCTAGATTTTCCTTCCAACTCATACTACCTTATGAATTTTGATTCTCTGAACATATTAATTTCTTCAGCTTAAGCTTCCAAAAGTGCTGCTCAATTAGTAGGAGATATCTTAGAGACAAAGGACCCAGGAGAAGGAACAAAGATCAATGCAGACAGAAAACACCACCATCAAAACATTCTCGCCATTCAGGTCTCTTGTACAGCCACTTCAGCCCCAAATTATTCTTTTATAAATCTCTCAAAGATAAAATTTATCCTCTAAATAATTTTTATAGATTTCACCAAATATCAGGCAGTGACATCTATAAATTTCAGAACTAGGAAGACAACTGAAAGTCTCAAAATAATAGCAGGAAGATTTTGCATTCCATAAATACTGAAACACAAAACAAAACAGCCTCTCTTTCAGTAAAAGCTGAATAAACTAGGTTGAGATATGTGATTCAACTGAAATTTAGGTTTTGTAATCACAAGTATTTCATATGCATTAAAATAGTTGATTACTTAGTAAAGAATAAATGTTCTTTATTAGTTTAGGATAAGTATACTTCTTTCAGCTTCTCCATAATAAGAATCATGAGTGTTGATAAAAGCATGCTTTTGTTATTTCACAATGTGCATTTAAAACATGCCCAGTGGCATGAATGTAAGTGCTATACACAGCATGGGAGATAATAATTACTTACCCTGTAGGCTGGCTCTCAAATTCTTCTGACCATTGCTCTTGAATATCCTCAGTAGAAAGATCTACATCCCGGGTGGTGGCAAAATTGAACTCACTGCCTTCATTTCCATGGAAATAAATGGAGTTCCCGTCTGACTGACAGCTATGCTGTAGATAAAAAGAGAGCATGGGGTGGCTGTTGAATTGGTTTTGTAGCTGTATCTGTCTTACTCATGTATAATTAGAGTTTTTAGAAAAGTCATTATATTATTCCCTCTATGATGGACTCTCAAATCAAAAGAGCTAGTTACCTCTTTTTTGCCTTGTTTAATTCAATTACAATTTCTTTCTAACTTATTAAGTTATCACAAAGAAGGAGCCAAGAGGACATTTGAGATTTGCCATCTCAGCCTTCGGTATGAAACAAGAATATTTTAATTGGAATAATTTCCCATCTTTACTACAGTCCTTGTCGTGGGACCTAAATGTGATAATGACTTGACATATATTTTCAATACTGTGGTTATGGGCTAAATCACACTGACCTTTTCAATATTCCATATATTTCTGGCTTGCCATCCAAGCCCTTCAGAACTTGTCTGTAAATGGGGTATGAGTAGAATAGTTAGCTAATCAAAACATGAAATACAGAAAAGGTCAAAGTAATCTTGGATATGGTCTCATATTCTCTGCTTACTTTTGAGTAAAAAATTTCTGACTAGAGCTAAGAAGTGCATGATATTCCAGTGAATAGCTGGGAAACAAACTTTGTTATTCTCCAAAAGAACACTAGGCTTAAAAAGAATTAAAGAAATAATTTCTTGTGATACTTTCTTTAACCTGTTTTTCAGCTTAGAATTTCTGAATCTTAGATAAGTTAATAACCAAAGGCAAGATCAAACTCGAGACCTGGGTAAACTATCTACTTTAAAAATTACTGAGTTTATATTATTTTTTGTAATAAGTTATATATAGAGAAATGCTAATAAATGAAGGATCAAACATTCTTTTAAGTTTTATATATTCTCAAAATGAAATATAAATAAAGAAGAATAATTGGATAGACATTATCAGCTAGGCCCTGTGACTGTAAGTTCTATAGCACAGGGACCATGTTCATTTTGTTCCCTGCTGTATTCTAGGTCTTAACACAGTGCCTAGCATATAATACCAAAAAACCCATTGCGTCAAGTTGATTCTGACTCTCAGTGACCCTACAGGACAGAGTAGAACTGCTCCATAGGATTTCCAAGGAGCAGCTGGTGGATTTGAACTGCCAGACTTTTGGTTAGCAGCCGAATGCTTAACCATTGTGCCACCAGGGCTCCTAGCATATAATACATGTTCAAAAATATTTGCCAATAGTTGAATGAATGATATAGTTTCATCATTTCTGGTAATCAATCTTTTACCAAGAACTCACTATGTGCAAGGCATTATGGAAGTACTGGAGGGAAATGTTTATAATAAAGTATAATATTTCATAATCTTTGCTCTCAAAAAATCTCAGTCTAGTTGAGATATGTCAAAGGTAAGTCCCAATACAAAACAGCATATGGTAAGTGCCAATGAGTGAGAGAGAGTGGGAATCACTGTGTCCAGGGCAGGTCTAGATGAGCAGTCTTCATGGATGAGCAAGTCTTCAACCGGCCTTAAAGAGTGGAGAGAAATCAAGTGGGATGACAAATGTGAATTAATCACAAAGGTGAGAAAGGACATAGCGTTCCTACAGGGAATGAGTAGGCACAATTTTGAGAGCAGACTGCAACCCATCTGTAAAGGATCCTAAATGGTAGTCTAAGGGATCTGGATACTATTGTGTTGACACTGGTGTTCTAAAACCAGGGAGTGATGTGTGCAAAGAAATGTTTTACAACAGCTAAACTGATAATAGCTGGTAAAATCAAATGGGAAGGAATGAGACTCTTTACTAGACCGAAAGAGTAAGTGAAGCTTCCAGAAGCTTCTAGAAGTTCAAGAGAGTAGGAGCATATTCTCTTGGGGGAATAATTTCACAGCACTAAGACATAAGGCATATCCACTGGGTCCTGTCATCATTTTAGATAATAATAATAATTTTTAGTAATATGGCATGCATCAACTGCCTGAGAATCTTTACACTGCAATAAATACTGATTATTCATTGATGCCAAAATGAGCTCATTATATCTGATCCTTAACCCACACATATTGATAACAAAGCTAGGCTTCAGTTTAGTTAATAGTAAATAGAAACTGACGAGTGATAACAAACCCAAGGAGCCTTTACTACTTTGTATCCTATAAAACAACACATATTAACCAGAATAACACAGATGACTTTCCTAATAATAAATCCACTGAACTCTAAATAAAAGCCTTCACAATTACTTTGAGATCCTGGAATCCTAATCAACTGTGGGCTACGTTTACTTGGCTTTAAGTAAAGGCAAGGACACATTAAGTCACTGTCCCAGGAAATGGTTTACATGAAATATTGATACATGTGAAGAGAGAACAATTTAAACTAAAATTTTAAAAGCTGTATTTGAGCGATAAAAAGAAAGAATCACAACATAAAATCTTGGTCATAGCTGGCCAAGTATCAATTTAATTATTTCAATTTTGGTTCCATTTACCTTATAATTACTTGCTGATATTTTAAGACTTGGTGTTATACCTAATTGTGTTTTGCTTTCAAATATTTATATTATTAATGTATTTTGGATATATTTTAATTTGGTTGAAATATAAAATTTATCTACAAAAACTAAATCATTAGAAAACTAGATATAATATTGTTAGACTGGTCTCACAAAATTAAAATGAATTGGTGTAGTAGAAAATTTAAGGTATATTTTAAAGAACTTTTGTTAGTTATTTTGGTGTTATCAAACATATTTATTAGTTGAAGACCATCTGTCATTGTATAACTACTGCAAGTTGGCTATCAAATATACATTTTTATAACTATAAACCCAGCAGTGCCAGTATATGAAACACAAATAATATTTCTCATAGCAAGTATGAAGAAGGCAATCTGAAAAAATTAATACTCACTTTGAGTGTTAAGCAATACTCATACTAGTAGGATCTAGAAACTAGTAGGATTTGTCTTTGGGAAGTGTCCATGAAGGACAGAATGCTGAAGTTTTCTACATATTTTTCTTATTTCTATAGAGAGTGAGCTGAGCTGTTCTTTACCAATATGAAGTAAAGGAACAAAACTCCATACCAAAGCTAAACTCAAACAGGGCAGAAGATGAGAACAGTCAGTGTTAGCCCTTGTACTGTAAACATCTTAATCCTGTCTTTGAACTTTAAGGGAAGATTCACTGTTAGCTTTGTTTAGCTCTATTCTCCTTTCCCAAATGAGCCCTTTATTTCTCTTTCTTGCTTTATTGCTCTGGCTAGGACTGCTAGTACAATACTGAATGAGAGTGATGATAATGGCATCCTTGTTTTGTTTCTGTTCTCAAGGGGAATGCTTTCAATCTCTCTCCATGGAGAAAAATGTTGGCTGTTGGTTTTGCATATATGCCCTTAATTATGTTGAGGAATTTCCCTTTTATTCTTATTTTGCTGAGAGTTTTTAATCAGGAAAGGGTGTTAGATTTTATCAAATGCCTTTTCAGCATCAGGATGATCTTATGATTCTTTTCCTTTAAGTTTCATTTTAGAATTGACCAATGACATACACTTTATACTTCTAAGTACTAGTAGATTTCCAATTTTTAAAAATCTCTTAACTATAGTTGTTATTTATTTCTATTTGTCCATCACAAATATTTTCCTACTTTGTTGCTGAATGGATTTCCTTAACTTGACAATCAGAACACAGTGTAACCAAGTGACAAGAATTTGCCATTCAGAAAAGCATCAACAGGAAACATCAGTGCAAATTCCTCAATATAACAAGTGCTTGGCCACAATTCAGGATAGCGTTTTTCTAGGGTTGCTCCCTATATTTTGCTGAAAATGTTAATGACTTCACCCTTGTAATTGTAAAAGTATTTGCAATTGCCTCCACCATTGTTTAATCAGGTTTCCATCAAAGATGAACACTGATGTACCTCTTAATATTATCTCCCTGGGGTCTAACGGCCCTAATGATTCTTTCAGGCATCTGTAGCCTTACAATTTATTTTTTGACAATATCCCTTTTGTTGGAATGATGATACTGGGCATTTCGGCAATGCCAGCTTGCAGAGAGCTGGTGGCAGATGGAATGAAATCTGTCTGGTATGCCTTCCCCTCCACATGAGCAGAGAGCCATCCATTTCCTCCATTAAGGAGTTGTCACTCAGCCCACCCAGCTGGAAGACCATTTTTGATAGCCAAGTTGGCTGGTGGCAGACAATTCAGACACAAAGTGCACTTTAAAAGGAAGCTAAAACATCATTTGTAGGAAAATTGAAAATGCGTGGCTTCCACCATGGCCAATTTTTTAATGACTGTAATATTTTAAGTGATTATTTTTGCCACTTCAGATTGCTCCTTAGAGAGGAGAGGTTTTTTTAATTAAAATCTAGGCAATGCAAACAGATGAGATATGAGAAGCAGAGGAAAGATAAATAAGATGAATAAAATTAATTAAAATGGCATTGTTGGCAGAGCCATAAATTTAGCCACGGTGTGGCTGGAAATAAAATATATTGATATAGGAATTTCTGGACTAAAGTGAGATGTGTGAATAAGTTATCAGAAACTGACTTACAGCCGACATTTCATTTGTTTCTTAAGTCTTTTACTGTGTTATAGCAGTTAGCATACAGAAACATTTATTTCCTACAGCCTAGTTCAATGAACTTTAAAGGTACAGACTTCCGTGCTATAAAAAACATCAACATAGGTAGAGAATGATTTCTCTCATGAGCCAAAATGAATTTATACCATTTTCCACACATTCAATTTCTAAGTAATTTAATGCCAGTTAAAAAAAACAAAAACTTGGCTATGAACACAGTCCAGGTGCAGGAGGGCCGAAGTGCATTTTCTCTTCTAGTCAACACAATAGATTCAGCCATGGTGAGTGAATTTTAGGGAGCTTAGAAAGTGTTTTTCCTCATTATTTTCTGGATTCAATAAGCATTCACATTTGAACCACTTTGTACTAAGATTCATAAAGATTCAATTTATGGTATATTTTGTGACAAGTGTATAATTACTTGGCAATAGTTATGACAACT